ATTTTCACCAGAAAGCTTAACCTAGAGTGTGAACTTGTGCTAAATTCCTTATGTTTGTGCCTTTTAAAATAAGCATAAATCAGTTTTTATGCTTTTCTTTGTTACTGAAGGGGGGAAATCAGATCCATTTTACAAGATCCACTTTATACAGGCATTTTTGAAGCTATTGAAATCCTAATACACAGCCTTTAAAATAAATGTGCTTGAATTCCTCTGTGGTGTTAGAAGTCAGGAAGGGAAGCATGAAGGAGCACCAGGGGCTGGGAACGCTGTTTCTATATTTATATGGTTGAAAGTTATACAGATAACTTCGTGACGTGAAATCAAAACCCGCTGTGCCCTTAGGATAGATGTGCTTTTTTATAGGTATCCTATACTTCAATAAGAAGTTAAAAATAAAATCTGCTTGATTTCGTAATGACCTTCAACAAAAGTTTCCATGAATTGGAATAGGAAATCCCATCAAATGCTGCACAATCAGTACCTCCTCTCAGCTACAGAGCCAGCCAGTAAGTTCAAAATACTTATGGAAGGCTTCTATACAAGAAGTTGCACTTGAATTAGGCTATAATCTGGTGGGAAGAGCAGCATATCTACATAAAAGAATTGACAAACAAATACAGACTGAGTCCCTGCTATAAGCCAGACACTCGTCTAATACTTGAGATCACAGAAGTGAGCACAGGTCCTTGTCCTAGTGGGGCTGACCTCATAGGGGAGACAGGCAGTGACCCCACAACATGTAAATGCCATGCGTTAGAAGTGATAAGGGCTGTTCATAAGAGTAGCTCACGGGAAGAAAAGTTGAGAATGGAGTGTAGGGCAGTTTGCTGTTATACATAGAATATTCAGGTAAACTTCACCTCACCTACTACTTGAGCCAAGATTTGAAGACATCATTCATGCATATAGCTGGGCACAGGGAGCCCAGGCAGAAGGAATGGTGAGTGCACAGCCTGTCGGGTAAGTGAGGACCTGGCAACTTCCAGGCAAAGAGGTCAGTGTGACGAGAATGAAGTGAGTGAAGTGTAAGGTCAAGGGATGTGTATGAGACTGGGCAAGATAACCAAGAGAGACTGCAAAGGAGCTCCAACAGGGTTGTAGAAAAATCCCATGCACTTTTAATCCCACCTTCCCACACTCTTTTTGAAGCCCCCTCGTACCAGAGAGAAAAGAACCCGTAGCGAAGCCCGGGATGACTCCCAAAGCAGGACTCAGCCATAAAGGGATAGGGAACAGTCGGTTCCATCCTCTGCGAGGCCAAGCTTGCCGCAGGACTAGGGGACGTAACACCACTTACCAGGTAATAGTTACCTCCCAGGGAAATCAATTCAAGGACATTTCCCCAATTTATATGCCAAGCCCTGATTGTGAGTAATTGTACAGTACCTGGCACATAATAAGAGCTTCCTAATTATTGCAGATTGTTGAATGAGCTATGTTGATACACTGGAGATGGGCCCAAATCTCTTGAAGCTTAAGTCCTTGTGAGAGAAAGAGAGTCCTGATGTGCTAAATATATTGAGACTCTCTCCCTTTGGAACCTTCAAGCATATTGGGGACCAGATGGGCCAAGGTAGTTCCTTCTTGAGACTGAGATGGAAGCCTGCAGGCTCTCTCATCCAAACCATCTGCTCTTCCTCTCTGATCAATTCTGCCTAGATCAATTCTTGTTAGTTCTTAAATATCTATCCTGATGCTAGCAAGGATTCTGCTTCAGGGTTTCTGACCAGCTGCTCTCTCCATTTGGACCACCTCGTTGAACAACTCACGTCTCCCTTCACTGCCACCTCTGCTTCATGCGGGTGCCCCGTCAGAGCTGCCTGGTCGAACCATTCTGCATAAAAGAACGGTCTCTGCATTCCGTGGTCTCTTGCAGTTGTCATTCTCTCCTCACTACTAAACTTCTGTCATGATACTTTTTTGGTTGGTTGTCTACTATGATAGTTAGGGATTGTGTCAACTAGACACGACCCAACCTCTCAATTGGGTCAGAGCCTAATGACACTTCCTTGGTGTCCTAGGCTTTTTTTTGTAAGAGAGAGAGGGAGAGAGAGAGAGAGAGAGAGAGAGAGAGAAAATTCCCCTTTGGCCCGTCACCTTCGGTGTGGGTTGGATCTCTTGATCCCAGGAACTATTAGCTGACTACCAATAGTGGATTCATTTTGGCCGACTTTGGACCTCTGCATCCACCGGCCTGTGCCCCCTGTTGTCTCTACTTCATCAGCCTGCATCCTGTTTGTCAGTTCACATGAACCAGGAGAAGCCTAAGTTGAATACGACTGGATTTATTTATTTCTACAATGGTGTAAGCCACGTCTTGATACAAATCGCTTTCTCTTTGTAAATACCCCCAACCATCACTAGTTTTGCTTCTCTAGAGGACCCAACCTAACACAGCTGCCTCTGCCTCTCCCATTAAAGAGGTGTTTCCTTGAGTCAGGGCACTTGTTTTCCCTCCCTCTATCCTTCGTGTCTAGATCTAGAACAAAGCTTGGTCCATATTAGGGTGGTTCAACGAATCAATTCTCTCAAGGCAGTTAATTAAACAATGTAGACTTTCCTCTCACATAGAAGAATATGTGTTCAGGATACACAGAAATGATGACCATGTAACGGTCAACCTACAAAGGGCCTAAAATCTGCTCGTTCTTGTATAGGGCTTTTCAACTGGGAGCAAACTCAGAATTCTGCTTCTTGCCTGGCCCTTGAGAGGGCAGACAGGATTTTGAGTGGTGTCTTAGGCTGAGTTCTCTAGAGAAGCAAACCCAGTGATGCGTCTCACTCATGACCACGTGATGCTACAGGACAGAGTAGAGCTGCCCCTGCGAATTTCTGAGACTGTGGCTGTACACAGCAGTAGGAAGCCTTATCTTTCTCCTTGGGGAGACTGGTGGCTTCAGGCAAGTCCAGTATGAGTCCATGGAGGTTTTCAGTCTGTCGGTCAAATGCCAAGCTGGAGGCTTCTACCGACTATCATAGCTTTGGGGATTGTTGAACCCAACATTGGCAGGAAGATGACAGGCTTCTAGACAGTTGTAGAAGTGGGCAAGTCTAAGTTTGAGCAGGTTCCAAGTCTCTAGGTATGATGTTAGGCTGGAGGTTTCTCCTGGCTTGTGAGCTGATGAGCCCAAGAGTGGCCAGAAGACCACAGACTGGTGGCTGGAGAAGCAAATTAATACAAGGTCAGTAGCTCAGATGGCAGGCTGCTGACAACTCCTAGGATTGGCATGCTATTAACTTAACTCCAAAAACCCCCAGAAGTTGATGAGCCAGATACAATACAAGATTCAGATTCATCAGATAAGCTTTTCCACAGCATTCATTTATAATGGAAGGCAATCCCACCCCCCTGCCCTTCCTCCTCAACCAGAGAAATTTCATTTCAATTGCATCAGGGCTGTGACCTGAATAAGGGGGTTGCATTACACCCTAATCTTCTCACAAATGGATTGGCTGCTCACAACTGATCCTGTTATGATCCTACAACTGATTCCATTGTATTCGGTGATGTTAAGGTAGATTACTAGGTCTAAACTACCAGACCATAGAGAATCCTGGCCCATTCAAGGTGACACCGAACCTAACTATCTAAAATGTGCCGAAGTTCCAAGGAGTCATCTTGGGCAAGCCAGGCAGGTTGTAAAGTAAATTTGTTTTCTTGTTTGGAATAGTCTGTAATCTTGCTTTCAAACTGTAGACTATCATTCTTTTTTCACTTACATCCTTTAAATGTGGAGGAAATGGTGTTTCTGACCAAACCAGTTATAGATGATTTGTATCCATTATAAGGACAGTTGCATTAGAAGTTTTGGAGAAAAACTCTTAACAGTCTTATAAGACTCCCAATTCAGGATATTATAACCTTGGTTAAACTCTGACTTTGAAAATCTCCTAACACACACACACACACACACACACACACACACACACACACACACCAGGATTAATCTATCGAGATTGAAACCAGCGAACACTGTGGCACATTGTTCAGAGGTTGATCTCTATTGTGACCTAACTCTTTGGACTATGCGGAAATATGAGACACAAAACTTATCATTTTTACGGTCAAAGCATAAATAAAGGACATGTAAGACTGTAAAAGAGAAAAATAAGGTCAACGGTAAGGAAAGTTTTCAGAGTTTCGCTGTCCAATCCTCTGTTGGGAGGTGAAAAGGTTTTATTTCTGTCTCAAGCGTAGGCTTAGGCAAACCCAAATTTTGCTTTTTGTGGTGGGCTTATGAGCAGGGCGAATGGAAAGGGGAATTCCTGGCCAGCCTGGCTTGGAGGTGGCACAGACAAGCCTCGGGACGTACACTGCAGTTTCTTCTTTCCTGACTCCACACTGACTGGCCCAGTGAACCTTTCTTTAGTCCTTCACTGGTTCCAAAACTTATTTTAAATTTTGCCTTTCACTTCAGATTTCCTTTCCCACAGATGGTACTGAGTAAAATATAAGCCTGTAAAAGTGAAGTTTAAAAGACCTTCTTTTCTTTTTTTGGCTTCCAAATGTTTCACAGGACTACATGATAGTCCCACCTCATCCACCCACACGTACATTTTCCCTCCTTCCAGTATTAATAGGTCTAAACATTTGGTTAGGCAAGAAATTTAGAACAAGGAACTTCAAACATTATTCTTCTGCCTCTTCACAGAGGTTTAAAAACATATCGCAGAGATTCTAATTCCAGGTAGGATGGAGTAAGCACTCTCATGCCCCCCTGTCTCGCCCACTGAATGCAGCTAGAAAGCATGGGCAGAATACACGGAGCAACTGAGGACTCTGAAAAGTAAGCACAGCAGGCATGCTGGGAAAGAAAACCAGGTTTTCCTCTCTGGGATCTTGCAAGGTAGCCTGAAACCCCACAGTGGGCCCTGGGTGCAACTGAGAGCTCCCGGAGAGGCCCTCTGATTCTGGCTAAAAGAACAGGGAAAGGGACCCCGGAAAGCCTTGGGGGAGGTCTTTATTTCTTATTCTATTATGTCCTCGTTTACTTTAGTTCCCAAGAACTTCCGTGGCCAAGGAATCCGTGGCACCAGGAGACTGCAGAGCCCAAACTCCGAGCATGGTGAACAGTTCTTTTCCATTGGAGGAGCTGTGGTACTAACAAGCTGGGGGGACTAAGGTGTCTTTCTCGCTCTTCGGCGTTCTCTCATCGCTTGGCTCCAGGTATGTGCAAAGCTGCAGGAAGTGGCCCACAGGGTGGGGCTATGAAAGCCTGAGCTCTCTGTCTAGAGGACAACGAGAACCCTTGGAACCAGAAGATACCAAGGAAATCTCAGAAAAAATAGCTCAGCCCCTTCATGTTGTTTATGAATTCAGGGGCTGACTCTTGGTTTGTGTATGTATTGATCCAACCCGAAACTATTTAGACACGAGCACAGTGGTAGACCACTGCCCAGATCCCTAGAGGGGCGCCTGAGTGGCACATGCTCTGTGCAGATCTGAATAGGATTGCAAGAGGTTTTTTAAACAGGACTGACCTTGGAACTATAACCTACCAAAATAGTTGGCTGAATTTTCAACCAAAACCTATGTCAATTGCTTGCTTAAAAAAATATATCAACATTGTTTTTGCAGGTTTTAATAAAACATAGAATCTCATAATAACATAATATTCAAAATGTCTAGAGTATAATCCAGGAGTGCTTAGCTTACAGAGAACCAGCAAGATCACAGCTCACTTAAGAAGAAATAACTGAAAATGGCAACATCAAGATAATACACGTGTTAGAACTATTTGACAAAGATTTTTAAGCACCTCTTGCAAAAATGACCCCTCAATGACATGGCAGAATGCCTCATTAGAAGAGCAGAAAATATAAAGAAGGATCAATTGAGTATTTTAGAACTGAAAAATATAACCATTAAAACAGTAATGATACTCAATAGCAAGGTTCAATAGCTGAGAGAAGTTGATAGTGAAATGCAATGAACTTGAGAATGGATCAATAGAAACTATCCAACCTGAACAGCAAAACCATTTTTTTTTAAATTGGAAAGGAACAGAGCCTTTGGAACAGCATCAAAAACACTAACATTTGTGTCAATATTTCATGAGGAAAAGAAAATGCGGTGCCAAAAAACATTTTTTTAAGAAATAACAGTGGGAAAATCCCAACATTGTAATATTTAAGGAATACCGAAAACTGCAAAGTGAATAAGCCCCAGGAAATCCATTTTGGATATACAATAACCAAACTGATAAAAACTAAATACACACACACACACAAACCCCAGAAGACAAAAATGCATTATGTACTTGGAAACAATTATTTGAATTCTATGGATTGCTCATTAGAAACCAAGGAAAAGAAAGTGGAAAAATGTTTTTAAAGTACTGAAAGGGGTGGGGTGAGGAAGCTGTCAGCCCAGAATTCTATAACCAGTGATAGTGTTTGTCAGAAATTAAGGAGAAATCAAAGAATTCTCAGATGAAGGGAAACTAAGATAATTCACTGCTCACAGGGTTTCTCTAAAATAATTTTTTCAGATAGAAGTTAAATGAAAACAGAAATTTTATAACATCAGGTATAAAGAAAGAGCAACAGATGAGGTAAATTTCACAGAAAACAAACTATTTTTCACTCATTAAATGTTTAATGGTTGAAAGCAAAAGTTATAACATTGTCTGATGGGGTTCTCAGTGGAAGTGTATGTAAAAGCACTTTCTTAGACCACTGCAACACAAAGAGGGGCGGGAAAGATACCTAGATGGTGGTGGTTGTTTGTTGCCTCCTAGTTAACTTTCTAATCATAGGACACCCCCACCCCTGCCCCTGGTTACAGAATTGAACCACCCCATAGGGTTGTCTAGACTGTAATCTTGATCAAAGCAGATTGCCGTGTCTGCCTCCAGCAGAGTGACTAAGTGGGACGAAGTGCTTAACGGTGGCACCACCAGGAACCCTGAAATGATATTAAGGTGATTTTGCCTCTTGTAATGGAATATAAGAGCGGTGTGAAGACTCCTGGGAAGATGGTGGACCAGGGGACCCGCTTACTCTGAGAGCTCTCTCAAACAAGGTGGCTTTGGTGTCCAGGTAGCCGAGTGGTAGGAGTCTGGTGAGTGAAATATACCCCCGAGCCAACACCCCACCCCCACCCCACACATTTGTCCTGAGCTGGGGCCTCGGTGATCCAGGCCCCGATTCATGGGACATGGCGGGTCACTAAGCCCCCGCCATCATGACCTAGACTAGTTCTAGCCCCACTCCATCCCCAGACCCGGAACCCCCGCCCAGAGTCGCTTGCCTGCTCTGCAGAGAAACGCACAGTGGTGGCGGGACCCCCGAGAGCAGCTGCCCACTCGCAGGACCCCACTAGGAGAGTAGCTTCTCCTACCCACAGGTCCCCTCTCCCCATGTGGCAGCAATCTGCCCCTGAGCCCATGTCCCTCCCTCCCTCCATCCAAGCCC